GCCCCTGGCGGCCCCCTATCCCCTCTAACTGCCCTCCATGGAAGATTCATTCGATTTTGCTTACCCTATCCATGAAAGTAGCGTGAGGCCAGCTACAGGGTTTGGAGATATACCTGTTCTCTCTCTCTCTCTCTCTCTCTCTCTCATGGCCATCCAGCACACAGAACGGCAGCGGGTACAACCACGACGGGCGGACGATGGCCATGCAGTGGCATGCACACACAGAAGGGCGGTGGTTACATCCAGGACGGGCGACCAATTTCCAAAGGGGAACTCCCTGAGGCGAGGCTGGAGCCTCCCAATTTTGAAACTGGCCAATTTCGAAGTTGGGAGGCTATTTCCTGAAATACGTTTCTCGCCGTTCACGTCAGGAAAAGAAGTTGTGCGTAAGAAAAAAACCAGCTCCATCGGTCTGCATATTTCCTGGGAAGAAGGGGGGGAAGGGGGGGAAGGCGGATATTACGTACGGTTACCCGACAGAATTGCTTACCCGCCAAAACCCATCTGATTTTTTTTCTCGCCACCCTATAACGGTTGTAACCATGTTTTCTTTTTCGTGGCCGCTCATACCTGCGTTTTTTCCCTTTTCACCGCCAGTACCCGCCCATGCCTGCACGTGATCTCCATGCTGTCGATGCGAATCCCCTTACAAGGGTATCCGCCCTGGTTTTTGCAAGCGACAAAAAATAAGTATGGTATAATGCCGCGCGCGGTGCGGCTGCGTCTGTGGTTTAGGCTGACTGAATGGTTGACTAGAGTAGAGAGTGTGTGGGCGCGCAGACTTAAGGCGCACGTGATCTCTTCGTTTGTTGATAATTGAAGAGACGGCCGTTTGCTGGCCAGGTTTTATTTATGATTGAACTAGGATTAAAAATAATTTTGTCTTTTGATGGGGGCGCTTGCCTGTGACTTGTGCGTACGTGCGAAGGACAACATTGACAACGACGTGAATTTGAGAACATTTCGATAGATCTGCGCGTCGCGCAGTATCCCTTTATTTAGGTGTCCGTCAAAACTAGACCCAGTCTTGGGCCTAGCACTATTGGTTACAGCGTTGGGTTTTCATCAGAGAGATTCAGGGATCGAGATCGAGCTGTGACGACGTGGGATATCAAAGTGGCGCAAAGGAACCGAGGGGTTGAGGGCCCGATGGGGCTATCCATCTTGGTTTTGCCGTCTGCGGAGTCGGAGCGGTACTAGCGGTTCCTTTTTTTCTCGCCTGTTGTCCTCTGATGGCTGAAATTTTCTTGCATATTTTATTTATTTTTATAATCATTATTATCTATTTTTTATGCCTTGACTTTTCTTAAGTCGGGCACAACACTAGCCACGGGTGGCCGTCACGACCGTCGAGGACCTTGAGCACGCGCCTCTTTTGACGGGCCCGTTTGGGTTTTCAAGTGTTCGAAGTGTGTCTTGAAGAACCGGACCGAGGAGTCCGGCGTGTATACGAGCCGACAGGTGATTAGCCCATGGGTCGGAAGACACTTGAGTGGCGAGACTTTTTGCAGGAGCACCGTCCGTCTCCCGCAGTTCACGATGAAGGGGTTGGGTGTGAGTATGCCCACGGGATTCTCCTCCACTTCGGTCTTCAAAGTTCTCATTTGAGTATTTGATACTCTGCGCCGAGCCGTTTCACCTAGGCCCGCGTTTGGGCATATAGCAGACCCACGCCCTCGGCTCCGCGGCCTGATTTGAGATCTGGGGTAGGACTTGTCCGCTGAGAGGCTGAAAGGGTGGCGGGGCCTGATTGAAG